GCTGTCAGTCACTATTAAGGTATTCAGTACGGTCATTATCTTTCATGCGTTTCGTTTGATCTTTCTTAACACCTTAGATGTCTCTTCTTTACATTAGAGAAATTAAGAATGATGAAAAAGAGATATAGATAAATCTAAATTCATTGCTTTTTCACTTTATACATCCTCTTCCCTCCCTCCCTCCTTCTCTCTCTCCCTCCTCTTCCCACTCTTTCTCTATCACTCTTACCCTCCCATCATCTCTTTTTCCTGCACTTCCTCCTTCATCTTACCCCCCCTCTTTTTTTTTTTTCTTCTTTTTCCTTCTTTCCTCTCCTCGTTCTCTCTTCTGTTCTTCTCTCCTTCCCCTGAATTTTCTCTTTCATTCATTATCCCTAATTCTCCTGCCCTCTCCACTCTTCTTCGTAACCTCATTTTCTTTTTTTCCCTTTCCTTTCCTTCCTTTCCTCCTACTTCCTATCCCTCTCTCTCTCTCTCCCACCATCCCTTCCTCCCAAAATCTCTAAAAGGGAATACAATTTCAATATCTCTAACGCTATTAATAAAGCTTTTAAAACCTCAGTGCCCACTTCCTGAATTATGGTTTTAATATCTAACTTTTTTATTATAATCCCCAGCTCCGCGCCTCCTAAACCCCCCCCAAAAAAAAAAAAAAAAAAAAAAAAAACATGAAAGCAACTTTAATATTTTTGACGTTATTAATACTACGTCCTAAAATATTATAATGCATTTTTTAACGTCACTGAAATACTACAGACAATGTATTCATAGCTCCCACACACGCGCGCGCACGTGGAAAACTAGAAAATATTTGTTAATGTCTCTAAAGTTATTGATTTGCTTTGGATCTGATAATCATATGCTCTTCCTCCTTCATTAAGGTACCAGAACCTGATATATGAATTTGATATGACGTTTTTGACATGCAAATAAAAGAAAAAAAGAAAAAAAGCATTGTTACATCTATTTGATATATGATATATTATATGAAATTATCATGATCTGTCCGGATATACTGTTAGATTTGTTTAATAGTTTTTTAACATTTATAACGTTATTAATAAACTTTATAAAAACACCCGAATGCTTTCATGATATTCACAGCTGAAAAGCAACTATCATATTTCTAAAGCTGTTAAATACTATTTTAAAAATCTCACGTCCTACATTCTGAAAAAAATAATATATTCTGCGTTATCGATAAACTGTACACATTAAAAAAATCAAAGTGGAGCATCCTAGAAAAGTGAAAAGTAATTCCAATATTTCTAACATTTCCAATAGGATACATAAAAGTACACAGTTCCACTTTCCGATACATGATTTTGATATCAAAGGTTTACATATCTTCAGTCCCGTATGTAAGAATGAAAAATATATTTGATAGCTTTAACGTTTTTAATATATCGCATAAAAATTACACACCCCGGATATATAGAATTTTAATTTCTTAACGTTTCCTATGTACCATACAAATTCCTTGCTCCCCTCCCCTTGCCAATATCCAAAAAGCAGTTTTAATATTCCCGTTTTTTATATACTATATAAAACCACCCGATCACTATCTCAAACCCCTTTTGATGCCCGCAGCTCCTGTAGCCACGAAAACTGAAAAGTAACTTTGACATTTAACTTTTTTTTTTTTTTTTTTTTTTTTAACGTATATGGCAGTACCCGATATCGCATCCGAAATGCATTATTTTTCTTTTACATGTCTTACTTTTTTCAGTAAACAAAATTCCAATTTATTTCCCTTCCCTAACTGGATTAATATTTTATGTAACGTTTTGAATAGATTGTATTTTTATTTCCTTGATGTTTTTAAATCAAAGTACACACTGAAGTAATCCATCAGCTGAGGAACAACTTCAGAATCTTAAAAAAGTTCTTCATATACTACATAAAACCCCTATGTTTCTGAAATACAATCTTGAAATTAATAACACGATGAACAACCCGCCCGCAGAAATTCCAAATCCACCTACTCCCCTCCCTCAAAAAAAAAAAAAAGAATATAAAAGAACAGAAAAAAAACATCGTTGTTTACACACACTCGAGAGCGCAGCAACATTTTTTTTCTTTCTTTCTTTTTAAATGGATTAACTTCCTCCCGTTTCCTTTGACATTCAACAACAAAGTCAACCCAGGCCCTTTCACCTCGGTTGTCCCACAGATCCTAAAAGTGTTCACTGCGTTTGGTCTGAATGGAGCCGGAAAACAAAAGGAAAAGGACGTAGAATATACAACAGTAAAAGCAATGGGAGGGAGTGACATGTCCTATTCAGGGTTTACTCTATTTATGCGCTGCTGTTGTGTGTTTCTTTTTTTTTGCGTGGGAAGTAATCATGCTAAAGCGAAGGGGATGTTTGGATGATAAAAAGAATATGCAAAACAAAAGAGAGTAGAAGATTGGGAGAGAATTTATACGATATCAATTCTGACTTTATTAAAAAAAGAAAAGAAAACGAGATATTTTCAGTGGATATTTTATGTGTGTTTT